AGGATGGAAGGTAAAATAAAATAATATCTCTGAATTCATAAGAGTCCATATTGCATAAAACATTCAGACCTTTCAATAAAAATCAGTTCATGGTCAGCAACTATCAGTGAAATTGTTGTTGACTAATTCAATTATTGTATACAGATGTTGAACTACCGGAGAGGATGGAAGGTAAAACAAAATAATATCTCTGAATTCATAAGAGTCCATATTACATAAAACATTCAGACCTTTTCAATAAAAATCAGTTTGTGATCAGCAACTATCAGTGAAATTGTTGTTGACTAATTCAATTATTGTATACAGATGTTGAACTACCGGAGAGGATGGAAGGTAAAACAAAATAATATCTCTGAATTCATAAGAGTCCATATTACATAAAACATTCAGACCTTTTCAATAAAAATCAGTTTGTGGTCAGCAACTATCAGTGAAATTGTTGTTGACTAATTGTATACAAATTTTAAATTCATAATCAGATTTTTATGTGCTCAAACGTGACCTAACATTTATTATTGTTGTCTTTGTATTTTAGGCAACCATTTGTACCGCTACTCCAAAATACTGGAAACTCATGGTCTTGGTACACCACAAGCAAGACCACTTCCAGCATGTCCACATTTAGCTTGGGCTAAAGGAGAACCCCTCAATATTTCAGCTCCAACGTAAGTGATTTAATAAATATTCACACAGTGGTTTGATCATATTAGATGCATCTATGTTGTTTGTTTTCAGCATGGCTGTAATCAGGGAATTCAATGTATAACCAATGTTAACTACTATAGAATACTTTATTTTAGCTGGAATTAATTTTCGCGGAAAGGGCTTTTTTGTGTTTTGTATGGAATTTATTTTCACTGATTTTTGACTTAAGTTGAATGTAAAATATAAGAAAAAGGGTATATTCGCTGGATTTTATTTTCACTGAATCATTCCTGCAGCGAAAATATTGAAAATTTATTCCAAGCGAAAATAAAGTATTTTACAGTAGTATGTAAACTAAATCACTGCTTTACATTGTAGTTGCTGTCCTGCTTCATAAGCGTTTAGGATTTTGTACAGTTCATGAGAAATCTTATCATACAAAATGCTGAAATGAAATGTATCCTAAAATACAGTACTTTTACTCCTAAGCTACATAGGCCTTCAATAATAATAATAATAACAATAATAAAAATTGTTTTATTTGGTGATTAGACACCCCAACCTTGTTGCATAGCTGAGTTATATTTCAGGTTTTGTTGCCAAATCAACTGATTTATAAATTTTAATGGAGTTCACAATAATTGTTTTCTGCATATACAAAGTGGAAGGCTGTTAGTATTACCTTTCATTCTTTAGGTCATCCTCACTCACATTCAGCCTCTTCTCTCTTTACCAGCAACCTTTACAAACATCAGAAGTTGTTGTCAATAGCAGAACCCGTTATGCCTGTAGTCGGTCGAAGAGAACCACAAGTCATTCCCCATGCTATCCAGGAAAAACCAGGCTGGGAGGTTGGACCTGGTGGAATAATAACACAACAGCAAGACAATACACACACTTTGCCAGTTATTGCATTCCTTGGAATGGCTGTAGTTCTTATATTTTTTGCACTACAGGTGCATAAAACTAAAACGAAACCAAGGAGGAGGTATCGACCACCTAGGTTGAAAAGAATCCAGCAGTTGGTCGGAAGAATGCCTAATGTGTGATTGAGAACACTGTGAATATTTGTTGTGTTCAAAGACTTGACTTCTGAAGGATAAAGCAAGATGATTTGACTATATGAGTGAACTGGATTAATAATTACTATTTATTTGGGAAAGTGATGCAATTTGGACTTTTCAGTGCTTTAGGATGTTTGGATTTGTGACATGTTTTCGCACATGTAATGCTCCTGAACCTGCCCTACGTAAAGAACCTATTAAGGAACAATGTCTTTTCCTGTGGAATATTGTTGTATTGACATGACCATGGTTGCCTGGTTACAGCAGCCATGTTGGAAGTCCACTCTGAAGTTTCAGGAGATGGGCATGCTTACATCACATAACAAAGCTCTATAAAGTTGTGTGATCAGGATGATGTACACTCGATTGTACGACGAACATTGAAAATGTTAAGAATTTAAGAAACATTTTCTTCTTTAGTTTATTATCACAGAGTATGTGAAGATACAAATAGATGTTATATTTTTAGTTCTTTTATACTGTGCTGGCTGTTTTATATCGTTTTGTATTTTTAGGTCTTGTGTTGTTTTAACTCCACACTAAGTACTGGTTTATAACTTTGCTTCAATCAAATTACTTTATCAAGATTGGTCTCACAGAGTACTGGTTGATATGCTAAGGGTGATAAGTATTTTACATAGTCACTTGGTGAAAGGAATATTGACTTCAAATTTAGTTACAGCTTTTAGAGTTTCCGTCTTCCTTTAATTTGAAAACAGACGAAAAAAACTTGTATGTCAGCTGCACAAATCTTCCTAGACTGTCGACAAGTCCTTTTGTTTAACACTGCATAGTTACATAATCCAAATGCTGATGGTGTTTGCAAAATACCACAGTGTTTGGATGTCACAGTTTTACTTATAGGAAAATCTCAGACATAGTGACTCCGGAAATTTATTATTTTGAGACAATAAATGCGCACAGTCAAACCTATGGTTCATTCCTACTAGATACTACCATAAATTTGTACAATTAAATATGTCTTGTAGACAAATTGGGTTTATTTGCCAGGAATGTATCCTGTCTAGACATTATATATGACAGGAAAAGACAAGGTGGCTACATGGACTTAGACCGTAATGCCGTATAAATCTTGTTTATCTTTATATGGTTTGTTATTCAAGTGGGACCCCCTGTTGAATCTGATGTGTTGAATTTATTTTTTCACCAATGTAAATCACAATGGTTAGAATCCTTTAGAAAGACATTCATTTGCAGAGTGGATGATGCCTGCACCCTCTTGTTAATACTACCTCTTGAGTTTGATTACTAAATTGGAATATTCTAGACTATTATACAATTGTTATCCCATCAAGTACTGGTTCTGACATGAAGAAAATTAATAAATTAGAAGTCTTGCAACAAAACTTCAACAACATGCAACCTGTTAACCATTTTACGCCAGTTTTCCCTACAATCTTGTGTTGAAATTGTTAAGGCCTCATTGGTGATGCACATCTCTACCTAAAGGTAATATATCGGCAGGGTTCCTTTCAGAGTGTGATGATGACATTTCTACTTCAGTCTCTTCCGGCTCAATTCCATTGCCAAAGAATTCGGACAAAACAGGACACTGGATCCAATTCTAGTTTTTATGCTGTCTTTTTCCTTGTTGAATTTGTCTACTATGACCCATTATATTCAGCTAGACTCAAGCTCAAGACTGTATCAAAACATTTTCTTGGTGGTGCTGAATCTAAAGGATTATATATTGCCTTCTAGGTAACTAATTGGCATGCCATAAAGGATCTGCCATTGATCACATGTTGGCAGCAGGCTATTGGAAATAACAAAGCATGTTCATTTATTGTTATTCACAGGTTGGGCTTTATCATGGTTGGACAGAGAATTACAAATTTCCCTGACACACCTTGATTCAATTGATGTATAGTACTTACCTGTCATGTTGTGTTTGATTTACCACTGATAGACTCTCCCTACTGATGGAGGTTTATTCAGATATCATCTTACAAAACATTCTTAGACCTGAACAGGATTTTTGTTTGACATATTAAACCCAATTTGTCTATTAGACATGTATTGTACAAATCTACATGTGTATTTATTGGAAGTTATTATTAACAATAAGACAAACAGACATTTATATAAATAAACACATGACTGTATTTGTTATTCCCATAAAAATGTTATTAAATAAAATCTCTGAAACTTGACTAGATCCCCATCATGGTCTTAAAG